AGAACACCGCGGAAGAGCATTTAATAGGAAGTTCACGCCTCCTTCCCAACCGATGTCGCAAAACTTGCCCAGAGGTGAGGTTTGAACCACGGATCTTACGATTCTGAGGCAAGTGCGCTATATATATATATATATATATATATATATATATATATATATATATATATATATATATATATATATATATATATAAATATATATAATATATATTATATATATATATAATATATATTATATATATTTATATATATATACATATAAATATATACACATATAAATATATATAAATATAAATATACATATATATAAATATATATATACATATATATATATATATATATATATATATATATATATATATATATATATATATATATATATATATATATATATATATATATATATATATATATATATATATATATATGTATACATATATAATATCGCAACTCAGTGTTTTTATGTGTTATGGTTATTCTTTGTAATTAATTTAACCCCAGTTTATGCTCAGTTGTCCAATATTTAGTAAATGTTTTCTATTTAAAGGGTTCCGAATATTGAAAAAAATTTTTTCAAAAATAAGTCAACCTGATACTCAAATGAAGTGGAATTTTATAGAATTGCTTTTTTGGAGTATAAGTTTAAAATTTAATGTTGTTATAAATATTTTGCTGGGTGATGAACTTCTAAGTACAGCGTTTTAAAGAAAGTATATTTAAGTTTGAAATATTTACAAGAAATAGCGTTTATAAATTAAAAGGCATAAAACTACACAGTTTTTTTAAGGCACAGTACAGTTTAATTACTTTTTATTTACGTAACGGAAAAATAGTTCCATTTATTCCTAGGGAATGTTAAACAAATGTGAGTTACGTCATAAAATGTTACAAATAAATGAACAGAAACAAAAAACATAACAATAATGTGCTAAACATGGTTTAGCAAACATTGTATGTATCTAAAAGGACGTCAGCAGTTGTTAACATCAACATAGACTTAGTTATTCTCCATTAATGTGACGTCAAAAAGAAAACCTCGTCTTTTGTTGTTAAGAGTTCCCATTTTATTTGCATTAACAATGATTATTGCAGTTAATGTAGTTTAAAAAAATTATATTTTTAACGTAATACTTTTCTCATTTTATCATTAATAAAAGTTTTGAATTTCTAGACTAAAACCATCAAAAAAGCATTTATAGAAAAAAAAACTTTAAAGGAAAATATTTTTTTTCTGGGAACTATGCAAACCGTAATCATTTACTGTTAGCTAATAAACTTAATAATAGACATTTGCTCTTCCATGGAGCGAACTCTTGTCATTGTAGTTGCTTCAAAACCTACTTCACAACTAATTTTTAGAGTTTTCGGTTCTACAAAGAAAATTAATAAACAATTTAAGTATATGTACCATTATAAGTATATTATTTTAATTTGATGACGACATTGCTGGTACAAACATTTGCTTTGCGCTGTTTTTATATTATAGTCTTTAATATCTTATTAGATCTTTAATTTTTCAACGTTATTAAGAGTTGAAACAGATGCAAAGCAGTTGTGGATTGCGGAGTTTACATATAAAAAACTATGAACACACTAAGAAATGAATACTCTAACCTAAAAACTTTGGTAAACGTATCGTTTACAATTGGTAGATTTAAGGTTATAAATGTTTCGGATGCTGAAATTATTTTTGAAAGATCGATGTTCCTATGTCAAAAAGATAGTTCTATTGTTGATGAAAAAGTTTCTGCAAAAATTATCTTGGCTACTAATGACCAAGTGCAT